TTCATTTGTCGTTTTTTATCTAAGATAAAAGGTCAGGTCACAAAAAATTTGTGGTGCTTAAAGTGTCTGTTACGGTCCTGTCTTTATAGAGTGATGGAGGAGAAAGTGACTCCGAGAGCAGTTCTCGCAGCAGTGTACCACAGTGGAATAACAGGCAATTCACTGACCTCAGCAACTACTCTGGATCCACCTCCCTGTCATCTGTATGTTCATATTCTATATATTATATACCTAACTATTTACCAAGCACATGCATATAATATAGTATATACTCTATACACTTATGGAAACAGAACCTGTCAATTATTCCACTTACCTCACATATGATTTGTGTTATAGTTAATTTCTTTAAGTCATCATGAAGCACCATTCACAAACCATTTTACTTTTGTAACCAGACCATCGTAATCCAAATTAAACAGAATATTCTAGGAGAAAAAAGCAGTGCAGGGCTTTATTCTAACCAGATTATTGAGATGAACATGTTTTGCTTAAGTACGCTAATTGAATTGAATTACTCACCCACATAACGTTCCAAACCAGTAAGATCTTCGTTCATCTTCAGAACACAAATTAAGATATTTTTGATGAAATCCGAGAGCTTTCTGACCCTGCATAGACTGCAATGCAACTACCACATTCAAGACCCAGAAAGTTAGTAAAGACATTGTTAAAATAGTCCATGTGACATCAGTGGTTCAACCTTAATTTTATGAAGATACAAGAATACTTTTTGTGTGTAAAGAAAACAAAAACTTTTATTCAACAATTTCTTCCTTACTACCTTTCTGGGCCTTAAACATATCAGTTGCGTTGCTGTCCATACAGGGTCAGAAAGCTCTAGGATTTCATCAAAAATATCTTAATCTGTGTTCCGAAGAGGAATGAATGTCTTACGGGTTTAAAATGACATGAGGGTGAGTAATTAATGACAGAATTTTCATTTTTGGGTGACCTAACCACTTCAGCACATTGGTGTACTGGGAATTATTCAATACTGAATTTCCATCATCCTCAGGTTAGTGGCAGTGTTGTGAGTGTGTACAATAGCGACTACAGCAGTGTTGACGTCCAAGGAAGCATCCAGTTTTCACTAAACTATGTGCACAAGTTGCGGGAGTTCCACATCTTTGTTGTTCAGTGCCAGAATCTAGCAGCAGTGGACACCAAGAAGAATCGATCTGACCCGTAAGATTGCGATCTCAGTACCACCCACCCTTTCTCCTCTAAATAGATTTTTTCCTCCATGGATAGCTTGTTCTTTTTCTAGGTACGTCAAGAGTTACCTCATTCCTGATCCTGCCAATTTGGGAAAAAGAAAAACTGCTGTGAAGAAGAAAACACTGAATCCTACATACAATGAGATTCTTAGGGTAAGAGCATCACTGACAGAACAAGTCAGGGCCAGTTGTCGCGTTTTTCATGCATTTAAATGTTATGCATTTAGTAATTACAATATTTGTAATGATTTGATATATTTGCACATCACATTTCACTTTGTTGCATTAATTGCATAATGTTTCGTAATTGCTTTACTATTCATACCAAGCTGAAATGTCTATAATAGGCTTTTTAATGGGAGATTCCATTGTGACAACATGCCCCGCTATTGGGTGTGTTCAATTTACTATAATTTCTTCCAGGCTATAATGGGGGAAATGCAGGCCCCAACCTCCCCTATATGCATTACACCAAATGCCTAATAATCTTTTTTCATTTTATTATTTGATGCATACAGTACAGAGTTCGAATGGAGTACCTGACGTCCCAGGTTCTCAACCTTTCAGCATGGCACAATGACACATTTGGTCGTAACAGCTTCCTGGGTGAGATAGAGCTCGACCTCTCCTCTTGGGATTTTAATGACACAGAGTGGAAACTTTTACCTCTTAAACCAAGGGTATAGTATGAATTCGTTGATCATTTCTCTTACATGGCAATTATACAGTATTTTCAAAGTTAAAATACTTCATACACAAATGCATGATCTCTTACTCTTATGTTACCTGGACAACCAATAGGTAAACAGTTTTTCTTTACTGATTTATTTTTTGGTTTACTAGTGCAGACTTTCAAATTATTCCGAACACAGAAACATCCACCATGTTGCATACGACAAATGAAAACATGTGTCCTAAAATCAAAATATCAAACATGTTTAAAATCCACTGACTTGATGGAATGAGCCTGAAGCTTAAAAAAAAAAAAAAAGATTGTGCCTATCATACACTAAAAATGCAATGACTTCTCCAGACTGCAAATTGGGACCAAAATCTGTGCACAAGTTGGGAGTATGCTGGAGTATGCAGTTTCTGTGCTACTAGTGTCATCTAGTGGAACTACAAAAGAAAAGCATGTTCTCAAACAACCTTTGCAGACGCCCCTTTTGCACATTACGTCTCCCCCAATTCTGACTGTTGAAAATCAAAAGTGGTCTAAATAAGAAGGTGTATATAAGAAGAGACTTTCGACCAGTATAACAAGAAACTGGAAAAATTTGCCTACCCTAGCTTTGAATAATGGCAGAATTGTCATTTTTGGCTGAATTACGCCTTTAAGCTGTTTTGTTCTGATTCCAGAATCTGTTCTCTATGGCCACAAACAGCCTCCAGCCATCTGACTTGAGAGGACAGATGAGACTGGCCGTACGTTTCCTGCCTCAGATTTCCCACTGTAAGGCTCCACCCTTTACAATCATTTACTATTCACAATAATTCACATTCATACACTGTAAAAATGATTTTTGAAAATGAAAGTGGTTTGCTTGTTATTTCTATGTAATGTTTGAGTGAAAATGTTTCCTACACAAAACTCTTCTCAGTGCACAGCTGAACTGATATACGGATATAATGAAAGACAGCACATTATGTCACAGAAAAAGTCAAATGTCAAAGTTTTGTCAAATGATCGGTGCTAATGTTTCTTTATTTTTTTTAATCCAGCAAAAAACACTCCTAGCTCTGGTGAGGTGCATATCTGGGTAAAAGACTGCAAGAATCTCCCTCTTATCAGAAGTCCAACTATTGACCCATATGTAAAATGGTAATAATAATAAGAAAACAATTCTATTATATTGTGATTGCATGGCATTATAGCTATTTTTCTTGAAAACATCTTTAGTGTCCTACTAAATAATGCTTTGTTTAATTCCTTGCACAGCTTTGTACTCCCCGACACCAGCAAAAAGAGCCGTCAGAAGACTCGGGTGCTGAAGAGAACAGTCAACCCCGTATTTAACCACACTATGGTTTATGATGGCTTCAGGGCAGAGGACCTGAAAGAGGCTTGTGTGGAGCTTACTGTTTGGGACCGTGACCGACTAGCCAATCACCTGCTTGGAGGCCTGAGACTCGGCCTGGGCACAGGTGCAGTCCAATGTTGGATGTTTATTGGATCTGAGATCTATAAAATACATATTAACACAAAAATTATATGCAAGCCAATTTTGTGTACAGGCAAGAGTTACGGAGTACAGGTGGACTGGATGGACTCTACAGCAGAGGAAGTCGCTTTATGGAGGAGAACGATGGAATCTCCCAATGAATGGGTGGAGGGCATGTTACCACTGAGGATGGTAACAGCAGCCAAAAACACATGGAAATGAGATTACAGGGACATTTATCAAATCACGTCTTTCAAATAATATTTGTCCAGCTTGCATTTGTTATGATTTATAGTATAATAGATTAGGTTTTTGTCACGTTAGGACTTTTTGGCCCCCATTAGACCTGACATCAACACGAGTTCCGTTTCCAGATATATAGATATTCTCTAGCTGGATTTATTTATTGCCTTCACTCCTGTGTTCAGTAGGATTGAACAGAGATCAGATTGAATTTATTGAGCCAATAACATATTACATGAGATCATTTACCGATTTCAAAATGCTTTCCATAAAAGTAAGTTATAAGCAGTGTCTAAAGGTGGATGTTCAGGTGATTATTTTCTAATGTAATCTGTTTTTAAGAGGTTCCAGATTTATATAGCTAACGAGAATCCCTTAAAACATCACATATATTTTGAGTCTTAAGACCTTATAAACTATAGTATATGTTCAAGACTTCAAAATAGTTTTGCAAAGTGGGTGACTGCTTTATTTGTCAAATACGTCTGTACTAACATCAAAGCTCAAAGACATACTGTACTACAAGCAAAATAATGCAGGATACTCCTAGTAAACATGCCAAAAGCAAATAAATAAACAGAAAGTTGGTTCACCATGCTGACATGTTTTTTTATCTTACTATATCAAAGATATTTGTATGTGCATGGTGACAAATTTTACCCTAGTATGGGTATATACTACACTATATCATGCACACAATACACAAATTAACATCTGGCTACCCAAGAAAGTATAGCACAGGACTCCACAGAAAAATGGCATTTTAAAATCTGCCACCTTGTTGGCTACTCAATTCTGGATACAACTGTTTTTAAGCCATTGACAGTGCATTACATGACAATGCAATTCTGATAATGCATACAAATAAATGCACCACTGTTGAGATCTGGTGCAAAGAGCCAAGGCTCTGAAAGGAGGAGGTGAGACCGGCTCACGCTCGCAGAACAAGAGCCCTGGTGAGACTGAAGAGAGGAGCAGAGCTGTCTGAACATGTGTACACTGTGCAGCTGGCACATGTGCACCTGTGTTTGATGTTACGTGAACAAATATTTAACTGAACATTAAGCTGCTGATGAATGAAATCCTAACTGATAACTGATAACCCGGATGAGTGAAAATCCCGGGGGACAAAGACAGGTTCTAATATTTTTATTCAAGTTTAAACCTTAAATTGTTACATTCATAGTGCATACATTTCCCCCAAAGCAGTTACATGCATTATAGACTTTTCAAAAGAACAAAATATGTAAACTACATATTGAATATGTTTCTTTTTAGAAAAAAATTGAAAAATTAAGGTGCTAATAACTGACATAATATATTTTCTCACATTTACGTAACAGGTGAGATATCTTCTAAGAAACATTGTTTTCAGTCAAGTGATAAGGAAGGAATTCCCGATCCCCGATGTCGATCCCTGTCCAAGCCCCGATGTAGACAACCAGTCAACTAGAAAGAAGCTCAGCAAGCCAGTGGCTACACCAACATACGTCAGCTGAGGGATGGATGCTGATGAGGATACTAGATACACATAGGAAGATAAATCAATATTAAATCACATCAAAAATACAAAACAATAATAGAACTATTTAGATAAGGTTCTTAATGAGTTCAATAAAATGAGTGAATTCTTACATCTAGCGGGCACAACGCCCCCTGAGGAAGAAGTGGAAGAGAATTTGAAATCAATACAAATCAGTAACTTTAGATATTTTTTATATAACTATTATATGATTCTTTGTACCTGTAGGATTTGGAAATGTTGAGTTTATCTTTAAAGGACTGTGGAAGGGATAACTTGCCCTGGTGGGCTGGTCAGAACCCAGTAACTCAGTCAACAACAGTTCTGTCTTTGATGAATTTACTGTGCTATGGAGCATGTAATAGGTGTGGTCTGTACAAAGATAACAAATACAATAAAGTGAATAATACAAACTTCAAATACAATAATTTGATATTATCAGTATTACTGGAAATAAGTGAAATGCTACAGCTCAATGGATTGCCATATTAGCATCTGAATAGGCCATTTAACCACAATCTTCATTAACACACTTATACTTGCAATTCACAATAGACAGATGAACTAAAACAATAATCTATCTCAATGTAGAACATGAGAACAGTAGAAATAAAGCGATTATAGAATTTCACGGCAGATATACATAACGTGCTTGCATGCAGGGGCGATTCTAGGATATTTTCAACTGGGGGGCACAAGAGGGGCCACAACTAATACAGAGGGGCCAATCTTATATTGTGTATTTATATGTAGAACTGTAGATATCTGAATCATTTAAAGTTCAGTAAGCTTTAAAATAAATAATTTTACAGATATACCTTATCAATTAATAGCATTTATTCAATGCTGTAAATCAGAAGAGTCAAATACAATTTGTATGAACTTTTCACGTTTAAGAAGTGAAAAACTGTAATAAAAGAATCCAATCTATGAATAGAGTGCAACTCACAATAATCTATCTCAATGTAGAACATGAGAACAGTAGAAATAAAGCGATTATAGAATTTCACGGCAGATATACATAACGTGCTTGCATGCAGGGGCGATTCTAGGATATTTTCAACTGGGGGGCACAAGAGGGGCCACAACTAATACAGAGGGGCCAATCTTATATTGTGTATTTATATGTAGAACTGTAGATATCTGAATCATTTAAAGTTCAGTAAGCTTTAAAATAAATAATTTTACAGATATACCTTATCAATTAATAGCATTTATTCAATGCTGTAAATCAGAAGAGTCAAATACAATTTGTATGAACTTTTCACGTTTAAGAAGTGAAAAACTGTAATAAAAGAATCCAATCTATGAATAGAGTGCAACTCACAAAAATAATAAAACTCAACATTAAGTTATATAAACGTTACACAAATCCTCCCAACAAGGGCAAAACAAAAAGTCCAGGTTTCAGAAAATAATAGAACAGCTTTATTTATACAAATGCAGAGTTCTATTAATCATTCATATAATAAATACACAATTAAGGAATTAACAACTTTATAAATTAAATAGAATAATAAAAAAATAGTTTATTTATAGTTTTATCCACATCCTATTCAATTTGCAAACCAGCAGTTGCAGTAAATTTGCATTGAAGAATTGACTAAATCTAAATATGACAAGGCTAACTAAGGTTTGAACATTGATTGTAAAATATCATATATACATACTTAATGTTAGAAATGATCTATTTTATCTATGCATATTTTATATAAACAGTTATTTTAGTATTATTTACTTATATTACAGTGTGTGCATCATTTTTAAATTGATGTTCTGATCATATTTTTTCCAAGCACATTTTACCAGTAACTACTATAAATTTTGTTTAATCATTTATAAGTGATACATAATTGTCCATGAAAGCTGGAAGTGAAAATCAGAAAATCTCCTTATATTCAGGTGTGCAGAATTATTAGGCAAGTTTTCTTTTACAGATAAAATTCGGGCACCTTTTTCTGCCCGAAACAGGCTTGGTGCCTCCTCCGTCCTCACCACCCTCGACTGTGGGGCGGCCCAAGGGTATGTGGACATCCCCCCAGTCGAGCACACTATTGCCATGCAGCTCTGCCCACAAAGCACTGCCGCCTGGAGGGGTTGTCCACGCCTTCTGTCCAGGGCCTGTAAGTTCTCATCCGCTCTGACGACTAAGGCTTACAGTGCTGCTGGACTGGCCGCTTCCGCCCTGCACGCCATGGCCCTCCTGCAAGTCCACCAGGCCAAGGCGTTGAAGCAGTTGCACGAGGGTGGTGCTGACCCAGGTGTGCTGCAGGAACTGCGCACTGCGACGGACCTCGCGCTTAGGGCGACGAAAGTCACAGCGCGGGCCCTGGGTCAGACGATGTCCACATATGAGATATGAGGGAGGCCGACAAACATCGCTTCCTGGACTCCCCGATCTCCCAGGCCGGCCTATTCGGCAAAGCGGTGGAGGGCTTTGCCCAACAGTTCTCCGCCGCGCAGAAGCAGATGGAGCCGTTTCGACATATCCTGTCCCGGCGGTCTGCTGCTGTCTCACCCCACCGCTGGCTGCAGCCCCTCTGTCTACTCGTCGCCGAGGGCGCCCTCCTGCGGCCTCCACCTCCGCTCCGGCGCGGCCTTTTTTTTCTGTTCCAGCCAGTGATACCCAAAACTTCAATAAAAGAGCAGTTTCCTTTATCTCCGGGTCCCAAGAGGGCGAGGATGGTGGTGCATAAGACCCAGTCTCCACACGGCCGTCCCCCTCTCCTTTTGCCGATGGGCAGCAGGGTCCGGTTCAGGGACGCTATGCCTCCTCACGAGCACCTTGCCCAGCCGTGGAGCCAGGTAAGTGGCGCGCCGCGCACTCAGACCCCACCCTGGGACGCACTGCCTCCCGGGTTGGGTCCCTGGGTTTCACTTCGCTGCCCCACTGTGGGTACGTCGGTGGTTTCCCTGGTCCCGCTTGTTCGGTCGCTGGGGGCCTGGTTAGCGCTCCCCAGGCCGTCTCGCTGGCTCATGAGAACCATCAGACTCGGCTATGCGATTCAATTTGCCCGGCACCCTCCCAAGTTCAGGAGCATTAGGTTCACCTCTGTGCTGGACAGGGATGCTCATGTCTTGCGTGCAGAGATCGCAGTCCTGCTGGCGAAGGACGCGATACAGCTGGTCCCTCTGTCTCTCAGTAGAGTGTGCACAGTCGATGCTGAACTGCCTGGGGTCTTTCCAGCACAGAAGGGCGGTTCCACTGAAACAGTTTCAGAGGCTCCTGGGGTATATGGCATCCGCAGCCGCTGTAACGCCGCTCGGGTTACTTCATATGAGACCGCTTCAGCATTGGCTTCACGACCGGGTCCCGAGATGGGCATGGCGACACGGCACATACTGGGTTTCAGTCACCCCGTTCTGCCATCAGACCGTGGTCAGATCTTGCCTTTCTTCGGACAGGAGTGTCCTTAGGGCAACTATCCAGGCATGTTGTTGTGTAAACAGATGCCTCTGCCAGGAGTTGGGGTAGCAATGTGCAATGGGAATGCAGCTGCGGGGCTCTGGTCAAGGCCCCGACTGCAGTGGCATATCAACTGCCTTGAGTTGCAAGCAGTATGGCTTGCGCTGCGCCGCTTCAAATCACTGCTGCACGACAAGCATGTACTGGTCCGTATGGACAACACTGCTACCGTTGCGTACATCAACCACCAGGGCAGTCTACGCTCCCGTCGCAT